AGAGAGAAAGAGAGAGAGAGAGAGAGAGAGAGAGAGAGAGAGAGAGAGAGAGAGAGAGAGAGAAAGAGAGAGAGAGAGAGAGAGATGAAGAAGATGAAGAAGAAGCGCAGAAGAACTCAGATAAGCAAGAAGCGAACACATGAAGATTCCGGAAAAACACTTTGCGAATTCGACCCACAACTTCATATCAAAGATAACACAGGAAAGTTCGGTACGCGTCACCCCTACGCGTTTCGCTGCTGGCGCACACAGCAGACTCGTCAAACGGCCATAAGTCGAGATGTAAAACACTCTACGGCCCATCCTATTTATACTTGAGCTGATGCTTCGTTCGTCCCCTCCTACGCTACCTGTTACTCCATTCTAAGTCGTGATCACTCATCCGCTATTCTACAACATCCATCCACCTAACTATGATACACGTACTTGGACCCTTTCCCGCTATCCATTCCACGATCCCTTCAAAAAAGGCCACCCGCCCGTCCTATCCCGCCTACACTTGTCCCTTTATCCTTCGTCTTCAAATTCCCTCCCCTACTGTCAAGTTGTGTAAACTACTAAAGATATCCCATGACAGCCGACGCAAAACCCTCGTACCTCTGCATACCTTCTAAATAGCTAAAGTAGATGGACCGAAAATGACAAAAATACGAAAAAACGCAAAAATGGCAAAACTGGCTGTTTGCCTATTCTTCATACCAAAATGTCGGATCCGTTTCCTTATCTACAAAAAAGACAAAAAAAGACAAAATACGAAAAACACAAAAATGACCAAAACCGTTGTTTGCCTATTCTTCAGACAGAGATACGACTCTTCAAATGTCGGATCCATTTCCTTATCCATCCGTCGAAAAGACTCACGAAAGGGACCACAAAACTTAGTTTCCCACTTCATACTCGGGTCTGGATTTTGACGAGTCTGGGGTATTTGGTGGGGAGGTAATTCCCCCACAGACCTCCGGAGTCCGGACAGCCTAGCAAACTTTGCGAGGGCTCCAGAGAGACCTCCGGGGGATACCCCCGGAGGTGAGTTTCCATGATCAGGGCTGCTATGGCGGCTTTCAACGGTTCATCTGAATTCGACACCCGCTGAAGTCTGACTAATGCTGCAAAGACTGCCCCTTTCTTGGTTGATTTCTTCGAAAAGGAGGAAAAATCTTGCATGGACTACACCCTCAGCCCCATTCCCTGCTTCAGGAAAATTTGATTCCGAGTTCTTGGATGAATCAGAATCCTGATTGGATCAATTAGCACCAAAATCTTGGTACCCAAGAATTCAAACACGTTCCTTCCTTCGTCCTTCCGCACCAACGTCGGACTCCTGTCGTAACAGGACTCGAACACCTCCCTAATCTTGTGTGCTGCTTGGTTTGAATGCATGTCCCCTATGCGGTATGCCACCACAATTGTCACATCATCGATCATCTGAATCCCTCTCACTCGTGCACGGCTCGACCCCAAAAGTTCATGAACTCCGATTCAGCTCTCGCACATACTAAGCACGCCAGAGATGGACTCGAATTCCTCCCCGTAGGAATACCAAATTTCTGTTTCAGCATACTCCCAGGGCACTTCACGTAAGTATTGTCCAGTTCGAACTGGATGATCGATCAGATGTCGGCGAAGGAAAGATTGACTAATCCTTCCCTCCTTGGATTCAGTCTCATCATTGCATATATCTTCCCCGTGAGACATATGCTCACCCCTTTGAATCCTTTCGCCGCACATAACTGCGTGATCCAGTCAACGACTTTCAGTATGCTGTCATGTGACAGCCTCGCAAACATGTCTTTAATGTCATAGCTCGCAGCCAACGCTCCGTCGGCTGCATTCCCCAACTCTCTCTCAAAATTCTCCATCCTTTCTCTTAGCTCGTCCGTAGCTTTGAGATCAAAGTGCACGCTGCGATTGAGTCCAAAGAGCATATACCGAATGACTCTACCAGCTTTTACTCCTGCCAACCTTGCTGGATCATCGGTGGCCGGTGAAATCGGCCTCCACCGCTCTAAATCTTTGTCCTTCGACAAAACATATGCCTTGCCGATCTTCCCACCGGTCTGCCACTTGCTATCCTGCTCAACCCTCTTCGGTCGAATTCTCCTTTCATCTTCCTAAGTACAATCTCCTCCCTTTGTTTGACCAGAGAAAAGCTCGGATTGCGATTAAAGGCATCTCTGCATGCCTTATTATACAGCTGAGGACAGAGAAGTAGCATCAAGCCCGGATTCCGATCGATGGGCATGGCGACTAACTCCCTGTACGGTCTCATCACGTCCTGCACCTCCGTCACGCTCATCGCCTTGGACTGGTCAATGCGTCCTTTCTGATAACACTCGCATAGTTCGGACCCCTCGATCCTTACTGGTCCCTCCTTGGTCCATGCACCCACCCCTTCCCTAATGCAATCTTCCAATACTCCCATAGGTAGTACCGCAAACCCGGATGTCACGTTCATGGAATTCACCACAGAGCTCGGTAGCCCAGGTACTTGGTCAATTCGTACCTTGATGTCACCGTTGGTTACTGGTACCCCCGGGACATTGCAGCAACATCGTGCCTGCTCCATCTCTGCGAAGGTCCAATGGTTATGGCCCTTATGGATCACGCCACCCACCGGCCTCCTGTTTTTTGTTACCGTCCTCACCTTCACCGCTATAAACCAGTGCAAATAAGGATCTGTGACTGATTTCTCCACAACTCCCGCTGCCATTCTCCTTACCTCCCCCAACCGGATGTGCGGGGAGAATGGTACCTTGACGCACGGTCTCCTCATGATTTCAACCCCAAACCTCACCCTTACCACCTTCGTGATCGATGTCTTCAGTTGATTCCGCACCTTCTTGTTTCCGAAGAGTGCGCACGTCCTATACAATGCAACCAGTTCACGCGAATCTCTCCGGTACATTCCGTTGATCTTCCCTGGGTTCCTCCGCAGTTCTCTCAGGACGTTCGGCCGGTGTTCCATGCTATTCAACACTATTCAGATCATTACAAATGGCAAAACACCCCCTCCTTCGAAGATCTCCTTGCATTCTCTCACTGGCATCTCCCTTCCCCCAACTCATACCGTACTCATGCCGATCTTGCTTCTCACTACGTTCCACCTCTCTATCCAGACGTTCCCTCCCATTGTGACGATGCTCTGCTCCCCGGCCATTGTGCTCATCTCCTTCACTAGATCAATGATTGATTCCCGTCCGTTGAATCAAATAATTGATTCAGAGACAGTCCCGTATTTCCTCTTCCCCTTTCCCTTCTTCCTCTCTTCCTTCTCCTCCTACCGCCTCTCTCCCCGTGCCTTGCGTATTCAATGTTGGAGAAAACTTGCTAATGAGAGCTTTTTCTACGGCTAGAGCATCGCTCGTCTTACTAATTAAGGGCAGAACCAGGTAATTTCGCCACCCAAACACCTTCAACCACGCAATGCCATGTAGTTTGGGTGCATTCCCTAAGGTTCCACTTTTTGCCTTATTCACGTGATCAGTCCATCGCACGATAATCTTCCGGGTCGTACACCCTATGTAGAAATGCTGGCACCAGGGACTCACGAGCACATACACACCTGGATCCCCGGTATACAAGTCACGATCCTCAACTCCAACGATCCTTACCGACTTCTTGGCCCACGGGCACCCTCCGTAAAGCACAAACATCCTAAAAATCCGATCTTCTTTCTCTACATTCGGATTCACCCGTCCCTTATCAATCTGCTCCCCCCTTTCTACCATAGTTCTCCTTAGCTCAGAAAGGACATCCATGTCGGCCTCCCCTTACCTTCACCAAGGCATCATTTCTCAAAGATGGGAGAGAACTTACCGCTTTCTACGAACTCCTTATACGTCAGTTTCGCCTTACATCTCACTAGCTCCCCAATGGCATTGTCCTTCTTCGACTATTCAATACCTTCCTGACTACAGAGCTTCCTCAACTCTGGGACCTTCTTCTCCAACAGCCTCCAGTGCATTTCGATGGCAAAGTCGAGCATTTCTGTTCCGCCTGTCCCCCCTTCGGATTCCTTCTTCATAGGAGGTGGGGTCCTAACTTCATCCTCGTCGTCGTCGTCGACCCTCACCGGGTTTCCGTAGTACCCCTTCTTCAAGCTTTTGGAAATCCTTCCCTCCTCTACTATCTTCCTCTTCCCCTTCCTTTTTTCAATCGCCGCCTCCTCTTTCACTTCCTCACTGTCGTCATCAGATTCCATTAGATAGCTCCTTATTTCCCGTAGCATCCTCGCCTTCGTCTTGGGTGATTTCTTCTTCCCAATCACTTCCTCGTTCTTGTTACTCGGTGTGGTATGCTGCGTAAGCAGGCGTACCATCCGTGCTTCCAACCTTGCTCCCCTCGCCGCTTCCCTCATTCTCTCTCTCTCTCTCTCTCCTATTTTCTTCATCCCTCCTCTTTGTTTCCTCCTCTTCCTTCACTCTCCTTTCCTCCTCCGTCTTTCTCTTACGAATCTTTTCTCTAAAGTACCCGTTCATTTCCTTCGTCTCTTCATCCATGGTCCCGCTCGCTTAAAACGGTGGCCTTCCATTGCCCCCTGCCCAGCAAGTGCGTGCGTAATGACCCGCTTTCCCACAGATATAACATGATACCATCCCTTGCTGATTCCCGTTCTGCGGACCACTCCCATATCCTTGGATCTGAGGAGCGCCCTGATTCTGATAGTTCGCCATGTTATCTCCTCCTCGTCAATCTTCTTCTACTCCTCCTCCTTTGATCTCTTACTACACAGTCCAAGCTATACAACCTCCCGAGAAATCTCTCTAAAAATTCAAATAGCTCCCCTCTCGATTCGCTATCATCAAACTGTAGTGCGACAAATAGACTCGGTACGAGGTTAATCTACCACTATCCTTTCTAAGTCTACCCAAAGTCGATGTATCTCTTCGACCCTAAAATTATGATCCCCTAATTCGTAACCGGGGTCCGATGCACGCAGATCTCGTACTATAGAACGCCCGTTCTCAACCACCTCGTCACATCTACCAGATAGCCGCTCACTGTGTTTCATCAACCAATCTTACTTACCCGAAGGCGATCACACTTCCGGTCATATACACTCCGACTGGCACAGACTTGTCATTGTGTCCCTCCTAGTACTGTGCTCCCCCAAACCCTGTTGAGTCCAAACTTGGTCTGTGTGACATTCTCCCTGGAAAAGTTCACGGCCCGATGCTGAAGAACTGTCACCTCATCAAAGCTACTCAACGTTCTAAAGCGCGCTGTAAAGAGCTCAGTAAAGAGCGCTGTAAAAAAACGTTGTAACGAATGCTGCAACGAACGCAGCCACTAGTAGCCAACGCTATGTGCAAACACCAACGGTTACCACGCTGTTCGAGATGAAGAAGAAGCGCAGAAGAACTCAGATAAGCAAGAAGCGAACACATGAAGACTTCGGAAAAACACTTTGCGAACTCGACCCACAACTTCATATCAATGATAACACAGGAAAGTTCGGTACGCGTCGCCCCTACGCGTTTCGCTGTTGGCGCACACAGCAGACTCGTCAGGGGGCCAGAAGTCGAGATGTAAAACACTCTACGGCCCATCCTATTTATACTTGAGCTGATGCTTCATTCGTGCCCTCCTACGCTACCTCTTACTCCATTCTAAGCCGTGATCCCTGATCCGCTATTCTACAGCATCCATCCACCTAACTATGATACACGTACTTGGACCCTTTCTCGCTATCCATTCCACGATCCCTTCGAAAAAGGTCACCCGCCCGTCCTGTCCCGCCTACACTTGTCCATTTTTCCCACCTACCATACGTCTTGGCTTCTTCATTTCCTTCTACCATTGCCACCTTCCTCGTCTCTTCATCTATCCTTCGTCTTCAAATTCTCTCCCCTACTGTCAAGTTGTGTAAACTACTAAAGATATTCCATGACAGCCAATGCAAAACCCTCGTACCTATGCATATCTTCTAAATAGCTAAAGTAGATGGACCGAAAATGACAAAAATACGAAAAAACGCAAAGACGGCAAAACCGGTTGTTTGCCTATTCTTCAAACCAAAATGTCGCATCCGTTTCCTTATCTACAAAAAAGACAAAAAAGACAAAATACGGAAAACTCAAAAATGACAAAAACCGTTGTTTGCCTATTCTTCAGACAAAGATACGGCTCTTCAAATGTCGGATCCGTTTCCTTATCCATCCGTCGAGAAGACTCACGAAAGGGACCGCAAAACTTAGTTTCCCACTTCATACTCGAGTCAGGATTTTGATGAGTCCGGGGTATTCGGTGGGGAGGTAATCCCCCCACAGACCTCCGGACAGCCTAGCAAACTTTGTGAGGGCTCCCAGAGAGAGAGAGAGAGAGAGAGAGAGAGAGAGAGAGAGAGAGAGAGAGAGACATATATACCGGGCAGTTCTATTTGTGACGATATATATATATATATATATATAGAGAGAGAGAGAGAGAGAGAGAGAGAGAGAGAGAGATTTAAGAGGAACACTAGAGACTCTCCTAGGGACACTTGTGATACAGACGCGATATCACTAGGATAGTATACACCAGAAATAAGGAAAGATGGAGAAGAGATGAATGATATATTATCAATACGTCATATTCTCTCCACATCTCAGTACGCGTTGCCTCGACGCGTTTCACTGCCAGCGTACATGGCAGACTCATCAGGAGGCTTTCTCAAACTCCAGCACCTTTTCCATAATAGCTCTTACTTCGAGGATTGATGATATCTCTCGTTACTCATCCTCTTTTATAACTATCAGCATAGTCCCTAATGCCCAAAAATTCGAACTCCTTCAGATTTACGTTCCTCAACTTCACACCCCGGCTACTCACTACTCTGTTTCATCCCCTCATACTCGAACGACTACCTTCTACTCTATTCGCTCCTTACTCACTCCCTACTCTCTTGGTCATATTCGTCCCCTATGCAGCTTTCATATCTAATCCTAGGCAGATCCGTCCAAGCACTGTGTAACTGTTTGAACGCCGCGAATGCGCGTTCGCGTTCAAATGTGCGTTTGAACGCGGATTGCGCATTCTCGTTCAAAATTGAACGGCGTTCAATTTTTTATTTTTATTTTCAAAAAAATATTTTCGATGCCTGAAAATATTTTTTTTTTCTGATTTTTTTTTTGTGAGTTCTATATGATGTGGGCTACATGTTTGTAAATTTTGGAGTCATTTTGCCAAGGGAACAAAAAATGAAAAATCTCCAAAGATGGCGGTGTCAAATCATGTTCGCCCACTAATTTCAATTCTCTTTTTACTTTTTTCTATTTTCTGTTCTCTATTTGTATTTCGAATTTGATAGCAAATTTGGATGTGAGTCTCAGGAAAATATTGTTTATTTTATTTTTCTTCATAACAGAGTTTTTTCCAGAATTTTTAGAGAAATGTTGTTGTTGTTTTTTTTTTCCCCCCCGCGCGGAATTGAACTCCACGTTCGGTCGCGTTCACTGAACATGTGTTCATTCCGTTCAGCTTCTAAACGGAAAACCCGCCTTCAATGAACGCACGGTAACGCAGGTCAAGCATCACCTTCTCTTCGTATGATCGAGTCGCCGATCTTATGTCAGTTGCCAATAATAGAATACGCTTACATCTCGCTGAATTCTCAGTTCGTTCTCGATGTTTATCTCGCCCATTGCTGCAGATCCCACTATAGTGTTGTTGCCATGGTTTTCGTGAATGGAGCTGCCACTGTGTTCCACAGTCAATTCGGATTTTTTCCGCTTTACTTTTCTTCGAGATATGTTACATCCTGGAGAGTCGAACTGTTTTTTGTTTCGTCCATATTCGGATAGGTGTGCCTTTGCATAATCTTGGCGCACCAATTTCTTTCCCACTCGGCTGAAAATCATCTCATATTCTAGATGGAACCACCCTTGTTCTCGGATGTGTTCATAAGTACGAATCGATCATGATCAGTTTTGCGGTTCAATTAGGCAAAAAAATGGTATCTTTAAAAAAGTGTTGAGCTGCCTATGAGACGAAAAATGCGTTCAGGTTCGTCAAAAAACGATTCGAAAAAACATCAACAACTTTTCGGATATTCGAAAAAACATCTCCATATATTTGAATTTCAGTCGGATGGATGATCGTCCGAAATCGCCTGCTTACAAAAAATAAGAATTTTAATAAACCCGCTGTTCAGGACTATTTCCTATTACAGTACGATCTCATGGTATTCCATGCTCAAAAAAATTTCGTACTCCCCGTATCACATTCTAGATGGATTTTTCTATGTTCCCGGATCTATCCGTTGGATCGGCCGACCAAACGACCCATATTTAGAAAACATTACATGGTACAAATTGGCAAAAATCAGCAAAATTACCAAATGATAACTTTGAAAATGTTGAGCTGCCTACGATAGGCAAAATTCGCTCAGGTTCTTAAAATTCAGAACAAAAACCGCTTCGGGAATCACCAGCGTTCAGACAAACAATTCCGTCGGATGGACGTTCGTCAGAAAATTCCTGAATACAGGAAAATAGGTATTACTGAATATAGGTCCGCTGTTTTTTAGGGGGGGCCTATCCTATTCTACCCCTATAATAATGCAATATGAGATACTTCGTACTCAAAATCCTACTTCTAAATACTTGGTCTATCCGGGGTACATCCTGGAGAGATTCTCTCCCCAGGCACCACCGGATAGTCTAGCAAACTTTGTAAGAGCACCGAAAGAGACCTCTGGGGGGTATCCCCGGAGGCGAGATTCCATTACGACTGTTGTAATAGCTTCCAACGTTGTATCGTCCGATGCCGACATCTTGTGGATTTGAATCCTACTTGCGAATAGTACAACTTTCTTCATCGTTTTCTTCGTGTACGATCCGAAATTTTGCATGGAGTGTATCCTCAAACTCTCACCTTTGGCTAAGCTGTCTTGGTTTCTGGTCCTGGGAAGGATATGCACGAAAATAGGGGATATGTCCACCCATATTCTTGCCCCTAGGAATTCAAATCTATTTTGTCCCTCATCTTTTCTGACCAGTTTTAGGCTCAGATCATAACAGTTTTCAAAATTTTCAGCAATCTCCAGAGCTGTCTGTCGCATCTCTAGCACATCTGATCGATATGCAATGAGCAACGCCACGTCATCAGTCAAGCATACACCTCTGCACAATCGCTTCTCCCTGCCCAAGGATTCCACAAACATGGTTTTCGATCGTGGACATACCAAACATGCCAGGGATGGACTCGAGTTCCTTCCCATTCGTATGCCAAATTCTTGTTTGGACTTCGCCAGAGCTCACTACATACGTATTTCGAAGTTCAAAAACTACCATATTCTTAATATCCACAAAACTGATGTGAACAAAGCCTTCCTCGCTTCTTCTTGATTTCGTTAATCTACAGATCTTGCCCCTCCTGGCTACTTTCACTGCCACATATCCACTGCTCTTATGGTACTCGATCAACCATTCTACCGCTGCCAAAATACTCTCATGTGAGAGTTTTGCAAACATATCCTTAATGTCAAAACTCCTAGCAATCACTGAATCC